TATATATATATTATATATATATAATGAAATAATACAATGCTTTAATAATGGTCCCTAACCTGGGGAACGGGAACCCAAGAAAGGTTTGAGGATAATTTTGAGGAGAGATAATAAAAAGGAAAACATCAACACTAAACAAAATTACATTTCTGTATTACATTTCTGTAATCTTGCTTTTGTCTTGTGAATAACTGGATGATTATTGTTGTTGTTATTATTATTATGTCTTTAGGGCTCTTAAAAATGATTGAAAATAAATCTTCCTGCAGTGTTTTATAGTAGATGCACACCACCTCGCCTGTAATTAACTACACTGATGTCAGAAGAAATTATTACACTTTTCTGAAATATAAGGATTAATAACCATCAGTGAATAGGAGCAATGCTGCTACAATGCTGTGAGCCAACTGTTCAAACCAGATCAGGCTGATTTAGCTCAGCAGGCGATTGATTGATATCATATTAAATCAGAGCAGCACATTGCAGAGCCGGGGGGGGAACAAACCCCTTGAAATTTGTACACGTTGGGAAAAATAAACACAAACGGCCCAATCTATCATAGGTTTTAATACACGGACAAAGACAAGTAAATCTAGATTATTAATGTTTTCCTGTGCTGTAAAACATATCTGTAGTTAAAGTCTGAGCAGTTGAGACAGTGGTTCCCAATCTTTTTCCTTTTAAAGGACCCCTTTTCTATTGTTTAATAAACTGACGACCCCTGACTGAGTGGCATATTTTATGGAGATTTCATATTATATTCAAAACTGTAAACTGAACCCAAACAGTGACTGCAATAAGTTTGTGTAAAACGAGTGATTTGGATGAATTTTGAGCAGATTATTAGTCTATATTAGTATTCTGTTTGTTCTCATTGTTGTCCTGTATTATTAACGTTACGTGGTGAAGCCAAAGGCTATTTTCCACATGTGGACAATAAAGTTCTTAACTAACAAACATGGTATTTTCTCCTTGACAGGTCCACATCAGGGTTGCCTCTCCGCCGATCAAGTTCCCATGCTACATGGGCATCAATATTCCAACCAAGGAGGAGCTTATCGCCAACAGGCCAGAGTTCCAGGACATTGCTGGATACATCGGTGAGTACCAATACAGTGGTACATCTCACTGACAGTGTTCAGTAAGTGTGCCATCTTCTCACTCAATCTTCACTACCTTATTGTGGCTTCATAGTGAGTTCAGTGATTCTCAGTTAACACTTGAACTGTCATACAGGTGCTGACAGTGTCCAGTATCTGACTGTGGAGGGCCTGGTATCAGCTATCCAGGAGGGAATCTCCTCCCTCCAGAAGGACGAAATGATCGGCTCCAACAAGTCCAACAAGAGAGTGGGCCACTGCACTGCCTGCCTGACTGGGAAATATCCAGTGGAGCTCGAGTGGTGACTGGTGAACCAACGCCATGACCAACAGTGGTTACAGCAGCAGTAGTGTGGATTTACTGCAAGCTCCCACAAGCTGATACATACGAATAAAGTGTTCTCTGTAGACTGGAAAAGAACTGTTGGGCATCACAGTGATATCTGGGACATTGAGACTGATTTAATACACAAACAGCATGCGCTTTCTCTACAGAGGGTTGTTTTACTGCTCAGATCTCTCACTTAACTTGAATATGTTGCTTTTGATGACCTCCAGTGGTTGCAGTCTTAACTTGCTGCAGTGACGTAAGTCTGTTTTTACCACATCCTGATATCACTAAAGTGATTACAGCTGCACGTCTCACCACACAACACTAATGCTTTTGGTTTTTTGAAGGTTACCATGTAAATGTATTGAGAAAAGCTCCAAAACTAGTTTTATGTTTTCACATTCCCAGCCTTAACAAAACAGGAGCATTAGAATTTGCTATGTCAGAAAAGAGCACAGGGCTAGTGACCAAAAAGAGAAGTTGTCTTTATGTTCCTTATAAATGTTATTTTCTACCTAACTAAAATTAACCATTATACTTATTTTTTAGTTTGAGTGTCAGATATTTTGTCTTCTCAACTTTAAATGTTACATGAATATATGGAAAAATGTAATAAACGAAGTGACTGCAATGGCAAGTGA